CGCAAACGGCAGTTAAGTTGGCGTAAGAAGAAGGGATTAATTGCTTTGATCCCAGAGTTCAAGGGCTTAACTGCATCAATTAAAGTCTAGGTGCTTAATAGCGATTCTGGGGTTAGTTTAAGGGCTTAACTTATGGTTTTACCTAAATATATACACAAGCCATAAATATTGACAATAATAAAGACAGGTAAATATATCGACCTGATATATGCCATAAATATTGACAACAGTGAAGACAGGTAGAATATTACCAATATATCGACCTGACACAAGCCATAAATATTGACAATAATAAAGACAGTTAAAATATATCGACCTGACATAAGCATAAATATTGACAATAATGAAGACAGGTAAAAAAATGACCAATATATCGACTTGACGCAAGCCATAAATATTGACAATAATAAAAACAGGTATACAAGCTCCCACGTGATACATGTTGTCTACTATCATCTAATAGCTACGTTTAGAGCATGAAATCAAGCAATAACAAAAAATTTAAACAGCTTAAATCAGTCATGTTCAAAAAATTCAGATTAAATCACTTTACCTAATTTAAAAAAAAAAATAAAATTACAAATAATTTTAATATTTTATAAAAAAAAATTATCTTGAAAATTCAAACATAAATTATTCTCGCTGAAAGGACAAGTGATAGGTCATTTTGTTCCGATCGTACGAAATAAATCACTCGACCTAATTCTAAAGGGAATCCCAACTAAATCCAGTCTATTTTACCTTACAAAAATCTCTTGGATTCCAAAGATCATCTTGTTTTTTCTTTTCACTCACGTCCATTAAAAAGGTAAAATTCTCAAATTCACATTTAGGCAGGTTTTTTTTTTAATAGAGAGATATATAATTTTTTAAATTATAAATTAAGATAAATAATTTTTTTTATTATATGATATTAAAATTTTATTTATCACATAAATATTTTTAATAAAAAATTAATATCATATATTAAAAATAAATAATTTATTTTAATTTATAATTTAAATAAATAATTTATTTTTATGTTTTTCAAAAGTAAATCCACGAGTCAATTTACTGTCCATTTGCTGTTTATTCTATTCCAATTGCTTGATGAGCGACATTTTGCTGCGTACATTACCCTTAAAAAGGAACGAAAACAAATCAGTATGTGGTTGAACAGGTTTTACCAAGGCCAAATCCAAACAATACCATTAAGACTCTTATCTCAGTTGCAATATTCCACTCGCATATATGATTTGATTTTTGAGTTATTTGTTGTTTCTTAATTCTATAAAGGGTGCTTCATCTCGGTGGTCTGCTCAACGATTGAGGGCTAAACATGAGAACAAATTTGATGCAATCAAGGCTGCAGGTGAAGGACGCCCTGTACTTTTTACAGGGGAGGTAAGACCATTGTGTTTTATTAATTGCAAGTTTGCAACTGCAACATTTACATGCAAGCATCAGAGTCTGTTTGACATAGATCTCTGAGAAAGCCAACTAGCCTTCTGAACAAACCTTCTGCAATAGCACCACGACAAGTGCCTGAGTGTCTAAGAGCAAATATACAACCAAGTGATGAACTGGTTATGGCAGCCAATGCCATACCACTCAGTGATATGGTGAGTTTTCCCATTTCTGTGATGATCCTTCAAAAACATCAAAGGAGAAGCTGTGATGAAATCAATAAAACATTCAAGAAGCTTTCAAAAAAAATGAAAGAATTAAGAAGACAAAAAAAAAAAGGGATTAACTACTTTCCCATTTTTCATTATACTTTAACAAAGTCTTGATTATTTAGTGCAGGCCCAGAGTAACAGAAGAGTGGTGAGTGCACAGAGCAAACTGAGAAAGAAAAAGCTAGAAACTGGGACGTTATAAAAGGAAAGGAAGCTAGCAGAACAATGAGAAATACCACAAATAGAACTTAGCCTTACAGTAAATTGAGGTTACTTACGAACTCAAGTGCTTGGCCTTATTGAAACAGTTCTGAGTATTAAACAAATAGAACTTTCAAGACATTGAGGCTTTTTTACACTTCTGATTTTTTTTTTTTTAACAAATTCGCTAGGGTTAAATTTGAACCATTGTCTTAAAAGAAAAAAAATGTATTCGTATGTGACATGATGTCACTAAATCGAAAATTTAAGCGCATACTTTTGACATTGTTTAAATTTTTTTAATGAAACAATTTATATTCTTAATAAATGAATTATCGTATAATTTTATGTTAAGATTAAGTTATTTGAAAATTTTAACTAAAGAAAACTGTTGCAGAAGTACATAGATATAGAAGCAAGCTTGAAAATCAAAGCCATTAAAGTATGATTTTAAGTAGTAGGCATAACATCATACTAGGACAAATCATGAAAGAAACTATATGGGTAAATTAAACAACTTAACCTTGAGGAAATTGTTGAAGGATTTTATCCTTAACTCTCAAATTTCAAATTTTAGTTGGTTCCTTCCTTCCTTTTAATCCCTTTAGTTTTCTTATTCCATTGACTTTATGTTAATTAAAGCTGTTTAATATAGTTTTGATTTTAGGTTTTGAGTTTTATTATATATATAATAATTATTATTACATTCAAAAATCACAATTTATCGCATTGGGCACTTGTGACTCAATTATTAGTGCCATTGTAAAAGTGCATGTCCCTCTCTCTTGAACGGGTTTCGAATCCGTCCATGACAAATAGTTAAAAAAAAAAATCACAATTTACCATAAAAATTTGAATTTATTAAATTTAATTTAAATAAATATTAATTATTAAATATATAAAAAAATCAAAATTAAAAATCAAAATAATACAAAATGGGGTTTAATTCGATAATTTTATATAATAAATAAATAAAATTTTTATATCTAAAGAAAATATTCCAATATATATTATATGAAAAAAAATTAAGTCTCAGATTTTTTTGGCCCTCATAGTGTGATATTGCAAGTATTAACATTGTCGGTCAAAACAAACTATTTTAGCTTGCCAATATATTGACCTGACACAAGCCATAAATATTGACAACAATGAAGACAGGGAGAAAATGATCAATATATCAACCTGACACAAATCATAAATATTTACAAGAATAAAGACAGGTAAAGAATGATCAACATATCTACCTGACACAAGCCATAAGTATTTACAAGAATGAAGAGAGGTAAAAAATGGCTAATATATCGACCTGACACAAGCCATAAATATTTACAGGAATGACGACAGATAAAAAATGAACAATATATCGACCTGACACATGCCATAAATATTTACAGAAATGATAAATATTTACAGGAATGAAGACAGATAAAAAATGACCAATATATCGACCTGACACAAATCATAAATATTTACAAGAATGAAGACAGGTAAAAAATGATTAATATATCGACATGACACAAGCCATAAATATTTACAGAAATGAAAGTAAGTAAAAAATAACGAATATATCAACCTGATACAAGCTATAAATATTTACAAGAATGAATACAGGCACAAAATGACCAATATATCAACATGACACAAGCCATAAATATTTACAAGAATGAAGAGAGGTACGAATCGAATTTTGAGATCTAATAGTTCGATTTTAAATTTTAAATAATTGAGTGAAGTGATTAAAGTTTTGAGTTTTATTATTGTGAATTTTATTAAAAAGTAATTTGATGGTCACATACTTCATTTGAAAAGGTAAAATGTTCATTCAATTTGAGAATCAATTATTAACAATTAATTTATACTAATTTTTTAATTATTACTCATAAAAAAAATAAAAAAAATACAAAATGACAAATATATCAGCCTAACACAAGCCATAAATATTTACAGAAATGTGTGGGTGGAAATGTACAATTATTTACCAGCATAAATGCTGTAGACTAGGTGGTGAGAGTATCCAGCTAAGGGCTATGTGAAATGTGTCCTTGAAACCTCCTAGGCCAGGACATGACAGCTATTAATGGGGTCAGAAGTTGATGTGACGAAGAGGGATCAGTTTTTTTAATAAAAAATTTAAAATTATTTATCTTATGTTTTTTAAAAATAAAATAA